TATTCTCTGCTTATGCACTCTAACATTTCGAGTCATGACTTTTCTGCTCTTGTCACTGATCCTGTGACATTTCCCATCACATTATAGACTTCAGGTGACAGGGCCAGACCTTCAGGAGCTCTTTTTCTTCTTAAGCTTTTGGGCTGTATTTTACGTAGCTGCCATCAGGCAATGGTGATGTTCAGCTAGAATTTTCTTGTGACTTTGCATTTCTGAAGCTTAGATAAAAAATTAATATTTATTAAAATAACAAAGATTCCCATTTAAAATATTCAGTCATTTAATATAAATATAGGGAATCACAGTTTGAGCCAGAGCCAAATTTTAAGGAATACTAACAACTAGGTTTTCTCTGGTACCTTTCTTGCTAATTTTCAACTGCTAGGAGCCACTGCATGATTAAACACTGCTTCTATTTCCCAGACCTAAGTAGAAACAGTTTTTCTGATCTTTATCTTAAAATTATAAATCTTATAAAGTTTTAAAGTTCATATACATGGCTCCAGCCCTTCAGGGATTTAGAGTAGGCTTATAAGTGATTTTCTCAGGGCTTTAAACTACCTACAAACAACTTTCCAGGAAGACAATGCTAAGTTGCTTTCTTAGAATTCCTACGTGCTCTAAAAGTGACTCCTGCTCACTCTGTTTCCCTCCTCGTTCTTTAAATGACCAGAAGCTCCTTTCTTTTCTATGTGGCTTCATGCCAAAAGGAGTCTACCAACCCAAAGAAATACCTAGAGGGAAACGACTGTTAGTGGCCCCAGAATAGATTGGCCATTCCAACATGAGGAATTTTTTTCCTCAGATGTGCGATCTTCTTTTTCTCCAGCCCCTTCTCCTTTGAAACTCAGATGTGTTATAAGACTTAATTTAATTGTTTAAACTCCCTATTAATTCCCAAAGCAGAACTGTACTTCCTTATGAACCTTCTTTTAATTTGTTTTGTTTTTTAAGAAGCCAGGCCCTCTTTTCCACCTGAAATATGTTTTGTGAAATATATTTCAATAGAACATAAGTAGTTTTTATTCAAAAATAAATTGTGGTTTCTTCAGAAATTTTAAAGATTGTATCTTTGAGCAACTTTTCACTAATCACTTCCCAAATAATCTAGTACTATTCTCATTAATCCCTTACTCTTCTTTCAAAGAGACTCTAAATTTCTATTCTTGAGTCACAAGCCCTTGATTCTCAACCTTCAGCTTGTAGCTCCACCACAGCAATCAATCACACTTGTCTCAATAACAACCAATGATATTTTTGTTTCTGGAATTTTCCTATATTCTTTGCTCTTTCTAGATGTCTTTTCACATTCGCTACTCATTTTTGCTTTGTTTTGTTTTTTTTGTAGTAACTCCCTCAATCACTCCTTTGTTTTCTTTAGCTAAAATTAGGTGCAACATTATTCTCTGATTACAAACTCTCCCCAATTTGACTTTTAGAGACTTGACTTCTTCAAGACCTAGTAGCTCATAAGCGGAATAAAACATTTTGAAAAAAATATGCATATATATATAAAAGAATGTATAGCCCTGATTTGAAAGTTAATATACAATTGTAATCATTTGATTCTAATTAGATTTCATAACCCTGAGAGCTTCATAGATTTTATAAGCCTGAGAGCTTCAAAGGGCAATAGACTGGCAAAGAAGAATATACACATGTAAGAAAAACATCTCCATGTTGGAAAAACCAGGCTGTTCTGGGGAGATGTGTGTGCAAGTGCACACACACACACACACACAATCAAATACAAATATTTAGTAAGCCTCCTCCATGCACCAAGCACAAACCCGGGTACTAGAAAGAAAAAAATGAATGATGCTTTTCCTATACTCCAGTTTTTCACAATCTAACAAGACAAAGAGACACATATCAGAAAACCTAATATAGTGT